TATTGTTTTATCGCACAGTTTTTTTAAAGAAACCGAACAAGTTTCCCCTGGTCCATTGCTTCGAAGTTTCCTAGCGACAAGATCAAATAAATTAAATATAAATAAATTTAGCATAAATTTGAACACAAAGACTGTTTTGGTCGTTTTTAGTCAAGAGTCATTGTTTACTTCAAAGTTCAAACCACAAAATGAAATAAATTAAAAGGTTAATATATAAATTTATTCTGAAAATTTTCAGTTAAGAGCACTAGGCATCCAAATTTTTTTTAAGTTTAATATTACTTCGAAAGTTTAAAATATTAGTAATTTTGCCTCCTAACGTTAAAAAACTAATGTTTATCATTAAGATAAGCGTTAATATTTTTAATTATAAGGAGCAAAAATACTATCATTTTAAATTTTAGAGGCAATTCTGAACTTCAAAAAAAAATTCGAATATCTAATACTTTTAAATGAGAACTTTGGAAACAAATTTACATCTCAACTCTAAATCACATATAAACAAACCTACCTAAAGTATGAATACAAAAACTGTATTGCTCGCCCTAATCAAGATAATGTACGTCGTTGCTTATTTTAAACAACAGATGATGATTTTAAACTTGCTTTTGAATTTCTAGCATGGATTATGCTGTTTTGTCCCTTTGAGACAAGTTTTACTGCAATTTCTCTCGTTTTTTCTGTTCTCAAGTCCTTTTCCAAGGGGCACGCGCAGCATATATAGTTAATTACTTTCCTAGTCATATTCATAAGATAAGAAGAGAAGTTTTTTTTAATTCTTTTTGTGAGTCACAATATTAACTATTTGCATAAATATACTACCTCTGATCCTAATTATAAGAGCCAGTTGACTAATTTGAGGAGATTAAGAAAGTAAGTTGAGTTAGTTATTTGTCCTAAATAGGTGTTGTCTATTTGTCCTAAATAGGTGTTGTCTTTCTTAAAATATCCTTGCTAATCAAGTGTATTGACTAGAACTATCATTGCTAGAAGGGTTACTTTGGAAAAAAATGTATAAATATGAAAGACAAAGTGGATTGGGGTCTTATATTTAGGACCAAAATAAAAGTCAAACAAGGTCTTATATTAAGGACCAGAGGTAGTACTATTTTATCATTTATTTCTTATCACTATACTGTTATCTTATTAAAAAATGTGTATCTTAAATAGACGCGAAGTTGAAATTTTTTTAAATTTTAAGGTGAAGTTAATAAAGTTTAGGTTTTTTAATTCAATTAGTCTTGGAGCCTAAATATCTCTTTTGTAAGTAGAAAGTTGTGGTTCAATTCTATTTGTAACCTTAAACTATTAGTGTTTGTATTCAAGTTCACACACACATATATATAACTTAAAATATAAAGGAAAAAAATTCAAATTTTAACTCAGTTATGCTCAATTTCTCAATTAAAACTTAGTTTCTAATTTTTTTTATATTTAATAAATTAACGCTTATCATACATATAGCTCACTCTTCCATTCTTCAGTTCCTTGGTAGAAATTTCTTTCTTCGACAACTTCACAGCCATGGATCCTATTTTCACATCAGTGCCATCTCTCTTGAACTTGTCTTCGGCAAATGCAATAATTCTCTTGTCAAACCTGCAAAAGAGAGCATTGGGATATTTCAAATTTCATGGTTATCTAATTTAATAATCAATAGTATCACATATTAACTGCTAGTTTAGATTATGGTATATTGATCACAAATGAAGCACGGAAAAAATACGGAAAAAAAATAGTTATGCATGACAAGGATCAATTTATTAAATACAAAAAAAAATTTTAAAGACTAAGTTTTATCCGAATTAAAAGTTTAGGAGCTAAATTATTCCGAGTCATAATTGAGAAACTAAATCATAGCTGAGTTAAAAGATGAATGACTAAATATCACATGGATATCTAATTTTAACCGAATATGTCAAGTTTCATGGGTATCTAATTTAATAATCAATACTATCACATATTAATTGCTTGTTTGGATTATGGTATATTGATCACAAATGAAGGACGGAAAAAACATGAAAAAAAAGAAGTTACGTATGACAAGGATCAATTTATTAAATATGAAAAAAAAATTTAAGACTAAGTTTTAAACTTTTAATCAAATTAAAAATTTAGGGACTAAGTTATTCTGAGTTATAATTTTAAAACTGAATCATAACCGAATTAAAACATAAAAGACCAAAAGATTAATTTTTCTAATAAAATAAATATAAATAAATTTAGCATGAACACAAAAACTGTAAAAGTCGTTCTAATTAGTCAGGACTCAATTATTTGATTTTGTCCCTTTATGAGAAAAGTTTCACCGCAAGTCCGCAACTTTCTCGTCTTGTTTCTTTGGTTCTCTGATCCTTTTTATACATGCACACATGCACGCGCGCGCGCACAGTTATACTCTTTTGATTTTTAATATAAGACTTAATTATTGAGTTGGTTTTAGTCTTAAATATAAAACTCATTTCTTATATTTATCAATTTTTTCTAAATTATTTTTATAGATACTTTTTCAACTATAATCAAGTAAAAGAATGAGAGAAGATATTAAGAAAGATGATTATGGTGTTTTAGGAAAAACGCGTCACATTTTTATAATTAACTAACTTACCTAACTTCTTTAATCTAATCAAATTAGTTAAATGGGTCTTATATTAAGGATAGGAGGAGTATATATGTATATACACATATATAGAGCTTGCCCTCCTTGTTCTCTTCCTCTTGTATATATATTCCTCCGGTCCTTAATATAGGACCCAATTATTGAGTTGGTTTTGGTCTTAAATATAAGACCCATTTCTCATATTTATCAGTTTTCTCTAAATTACTCCTATAAATACTCCCTCAACCATAATCAAGTAAAAGAGGGAAAGGGGGTATTAAGAAAAATGATTATGGTGTTTTAAGAAAAACATGTCACATTTTTTATAATTAACTAACTTACCTAACTTCCTTAATCTAATCAAATTAGTTAAATGAGTCTTATATTAAGGACTGGAGGAGTATTTTTTTTGGACCAACTTTTCCTCTAATAGTTAGCCACTATTAATCTATTATATTACAATCATGTGGCAGCCTTGTATCTTGCCTCTTCGCATGACTCTGAAGCTTCATCACGACAAACATGAAATAATTAAATTTAAATAAATTTGCAGAAAGTACGAATGAAAACAGAGAAATATGGGGATTTTTTGTTAAACTGAGGCATTAACTGGACTTTTCTCGAGTCCCTACTAACATGTGAATTTTGCTTTCTCCTTATGTTTAATATCTTCCTTCCCATGACTTGTTTATTCAGTTGTCCTAAATTTTTGGCCAATAAAGTATCAATGACTATGCGAAAAGTAGATTTGATGAATATTAACTCTCACATATCTCCCCAGAGAATCTGAATAGTATTTAACTGATACCTAGAAGAAGCCAAATGATGCTTGACATTAGCTTAATATATTTAAAGAAAATGGATGAAAAAAATAACACTATCTAGTGTAGTTTAATATATCAAATAGACTTATATATCAAACGTGTTAAAATAATATTTTTAAATATTAGAAATTTATAATTATAATTTTTTTGTCAGTTATATTTTACAGAGAGAGTACAATATCTCCCTTTACTTCAAAACTTGATTAATTATCGCAAATAAAGGTGTGTGAATAAAAGTTCATTTATTGATTTCAGATTTCTATCTTATATTTCATCCTTCAGTATATCATGTAGATAATATAATCATTTCTCTGTAATATTAATTTTCATAAGAAAGTTGTTAATGTTAGAGTTAAGGTTGATCTAGTACCCTTAAATATTTTTGGGAGAATTGTTACATAAAGTCTTAAGCAAAAAATATAATTATTAAACAGTCTCAATAACAATATAATACCCTATAATAACAAGTTTTAGAGTAAGAAACAACAATTTCTTACTTGTCATTGGACTTTTTTCATATTTATTTATTTTTCTTGGAACCTCATAATAATTTTCCTAATATTTTTTAATGTATCCAATAGCCTAAAGTATTTTGCGATTCATCTAACATTTTGAAGTATTTTTTAAATGTGTTCAACACTACAAAATATGTTGCGATTCATCTAGTACCTTGAAATTTTTTTTTTCAGGCATATCTAATAGTACTTTAAAATATTTTATAGCACAATTTTTTCTTTAAACATTAAGGTGCAAGACGCAGAGTTCAATGAACGATAAAATACTTTAAGACGCTAGACTGACCACAAAAAATATTAACATTCTGGAGCAATTGAAAAAAAATACATTATGATATCGGATCAACCTTAAACATTAATATTCTCTCAGTTGTTTAGTTATTATTAGGTTACTAGAGAAATTGATTTTAATAAAATGTAAACGAACTTTTATAAACTTTTTCTGTTTTAATAAGTATTTAATTATGAGATCGACAATATGATAATACCCTAATAAATATTATGGCAACAACATCATAAATATATCAATTTATTTTATAAGTAAAAATATATTTAAATAATTAAATTATTAATCATCGTAGGATTATAATTGAAATAATGAAATTTGAAAAATTTCAAATTATTACCGAAATCATTTCCCAGCATTAGCAACAGAAAATTCCAGCGCAAGCAATCTAACGAAAAAAATAGTGACTAAATAGTGATGAAAATCTTTTCTGTCATTAATTTTATCACAAAACAGAACTTGGTGTTAGAAATTTGTTTTAAAAAAAATGTTCCATCATTAATTGTTATTAATTCATATTGGCGACAAAATAGTTCTGCCACAAATTTTCATCACTAATTCTATCACTAATTTTACTAATTTTACCAACAAAATTTTCCACAAATTATTTTTTTGTAGTGTTTACAGATTTAAAACAAAATAGATGAATTATTTATTTGTAATAAATATATGCTGGTTTTATGAAAGACCCCATTTAATCATTATCCCCGTCAATAAGAATTCTCTTTAATATATACAATTAATAAGAATAGTTTAGAATCTGAAAATGTACTTAAATAGAAGCTCCTCACACTGTAGATATGTAAGTTCCTTAGTGACTAAACAATCAGTGATGTCTCGATTCAATACAAGTATAATCTCTTTCCCCTTTTCCAATGCAGAAATTTCCCACAGGGATTTGGGTTCACAGCAAATATTTTTCGTTTACGGCCATGCTTTCCACTCTGAATCCCAACGAGATCAGGAAGCTATTCAATGTGCCTAAACACTCACATGAACAAAGCTCATACTTACTGTTTATTTCTTATTATGAGTCTTAAAACAGTGGCAGACAGCATCTTGGAACAGCCCTCCAAGCATAGGCCTCAAAATGACGGATGTTTTTCTCAATAAAAGTTACTCAAATGATCTGCAAACGAGGATATTAGCTGAAATACATTAAAGTAGGTGTCATTTCTACAGAGAACCTCGATCTCCATACAGCTCATTCCACTGCCTCAATTCATGCATAATCGCCCCGTGACCATCAAAACTTGCAGGAACCTGTGGTAAAATATAAGATTCAGATTCTTCTACAGGTGTCCTATTGATAAATGAGTAAGCTTTCTCAAGGGCAATGAAGAAAGACCCTTCAACAAACTTATGATCTCTTGTAGCAATATCAGATTTACCTAATAATTTTAGGTAGATTAGGCTATGTCCTGAAATATTAATAAGTAATTTCTCACAATGGTGCAAGAGAAAGCAAACAGAGAGTTCCAAAATCAACCGACTAAGGACATTTGTGTGTTGAATTTCAATTGCTAAGATCAAATGGTATTATTAATGAACACTGAATCCACAACCAGCCATTTATTGCGAGTATTTTCACATAATATTAGAAATGAAAGCAAACAGAACTGAAAGAAAATAAAAAGTATAGGCCAAAATCAAGAAAAAATCAGTCATTAATGTAAATTGTGAGGGGTTTCAAGTTAACCCTACCTGATTCTTAGCCTGAATCATGTCTTCCATATTTATGGGCCTCAAGGTAATTACTGGCTCTTCTTTGTCCTCCTTATCACTTTCTGAGCTTTGGCCTTCAGCATCTTTCTTATTCTTGTCCTAAATTAAGATAAAATTTATGCCCGTCAGCCAAAAGATAGTAATAAAGTTGGAAAGGCACAGTGAAATGATGTTACAAGTCAAGGAAATTACCTGCTCTTTTGGGCCCTCTTTGGGACTTGAAGCAGCTTGTGAGCTTTGGCCTTCGGCATCTTTCTTATTCTTACCCTAAGTTAAGATAAAATTTATGCTGGTCAGCTAAGTTGAGAAGGCACAGTGAGATGTTTTGTTACAAAGTCAATAAAATTACTTGTTCTTCTGTATCCTCTTTGGCACTTGAAGCAGCTTCGGAGCTTTGGCCTTCAGCCTCTTTCTTATTCTTTTCCTTAAATGAGAAAACATTTATGCTAATGAGCTAACAGATAATCATTAGAATGAGAGGGCACATTGACATGATGTAACAAGACAAAATTGCCATGTCTGATTAGTAACATTACCATATCCTTCAATTTCTCCTGCTTTATGAGCTCCCTAACAGGTCGATAAGCAGCAGCAGTGCACAAATTCTATTTAAAAGAAATTTAGTCTCAACAGCTGGTGGCCACGTGTTACAAGTAGGAAAATAGAATCACAATATTAAAAGGAAAGGCCAAAAAACGCAAACCTTGAGGTCGCTTCCAGTATATCCCTCTGTCATGACTGCAACCTTTTTGAGGTCTAAGTTTTCAGTATTTTCCTTAGCCAGTAGAGTTTTCAAGATAATCTCCCTAGCCTCGACAGATGGCAGACCAACCATGACTCTGCTCAACATTGACAGTTGCAAAGGTATCAATAATAAAATCATAACAATGTGTATTTAAAAATTGAATTATCCAACAACGTTACTCAGAGATCAAGCCCAAATAAAATTTCCCGGTGATGCTTTAGAGAGGTTTTGAATAGTTACTACTTACTAATGCAAAAATTGAAACTGGGACTTAATTAGCATGCAAGAAACAAACAGGACAAACACAAATCAAGGGTTCATAAAAATAAGGATTGTTAGAGATTAAAAGTTTTACCTGAAGCGTTGGGAAATTATAGAAAGCAACAGAAGTATATGTCCTCGAAGGGTGTCACTACTGTGCTATGTGTAATTTTTTAATCATTTGAAGACTAAAAATTTAGCTTCATGAAAATAATCTCTCTGTTTTGATAAAATGAAGTAGAAATGAACGAAGATGTATATACCTTCGCTCAAACCGTCTTATGATTGCATCATCAAGGTCAAATGGCCTATTGGTGGCAGCAAGAACTAGAATACGCTCGTGTTGTTTTGTCAATAGACCATCCCAATGGGTCATGAATTCATTCTTAATCCTCCTCGTAGCCTCATGCTCTCCACATCTTGATCGTCGCCCGAGCAAGCTATCAACTTCATCAATGAAAATGATAGTCGGAGAAACCTTTGCAGCTAGAGAGAACAGAGCACGGACATGCTTCTCAGCTTCTCCAAACCACATTGATGTGATGGTAGACATGGAGACATTGATGAAACTAGCTCCTGCTTCATTTGCAATTGCCTTTGCAAGCATTGTTTTTCCAGTACCTGGAGGTCCAAAGAGCAATATGCCTCGACAAGGCTTAAGAAGTCCACTTTTGAAGAGCTCTGGTCTTCGAAGTGGAAGCATGACTAGCTCTTGTAGTGATTCCTTAACTTCCTCCAGTGCACCAATATCTGAGAATGTGACACCTATCTCATTCGCGGGGATAAGTTCATCTCTTATGTGCCTCTCATGCTTACTGTCCGGACGAACATCCTGCCAGAACAAAATTAAACCGAAAATGAGATACAGAATGAAGTAACCACGTAAAACATTGGTTAAACACTCATTTTATGCATAATTGGACCCTCAAAAGCTGAGTCCCATTGCACAAATTTAAAATATTAGCCTTTCATCATCCACGTCATCTTTTTTCCTTCTCTGGAAGCATTTATGCTGATCCATTTTGCCCTCACTCATTAGAGTCAATGTAAACGTACCTTCTTTCCATTTTTCACTTGCTTCTTTCCATCGTTGTTACTTTTCTTTTTGCGAAATAGATCCAAAGCATGGCACAAACTGTGAATTTTCAGGATTAGTCACACCTCACTAGGACATGTTTTCCTTAACAAATAAATAACTGGTCCAAATTCTTACCTCTCAGATGATATCACAAGCTTTCCATTCCGATATTCTGGATCCTTGGTATTCATTAAGTAGTGAGATATTGCAGATACCACAATTTCTTCAATATATTTACTCAGTATCTTTGTGTCGTCATGGCTGATTGAATTCAAGTCTCTACATTCAACATCACTTGCTGCCAGTACTTCAGCGATGTGGTTCCTGTTATCTTGAGACTTAATTGTTTTCTTGTTCTCTTCCAGTTGGGCTTTCCAATCTTCAAGATCGGTTTCATCTTCTGGTGGTTTGACCTTAATGATGTAAGGGAATAACGCTGCGAGCCTTTCATCAACCTTTGAACGTTTATTCACTTTTGGAGGCGGAAGCATCCATGGCGGGAGATCTATTACAATCAAATAAAACACAACCATCATATTTTCATAATATAACTTTAAGAGAGAACAAAGCTTAACATATGTTGTGCCACATTTTCCCTTTCAACTTCTTATGGAAAAAAAAAAAATTCATAACACAATTCTGAAGCAAATGCATTTGACTCCTGCATTAATAATGTAAAAAACCAAAAATGATAAACATGTGTTCAAGCTTCTCAAATAAGACATCGGCCTTTATTTTTATACTTTTATACAAGTATATACTCTTTCACTAACTCATTTTCTAGTTTAGTTCCTTAATCATATTCTCAATTGATTGAAAAAAACCAGATCTTTATGATGAAATAGAATATATATCACTGTTTTAGCAAATAATTTCTTTTTATAGTTCCATTTGTCTTGTGTATCTAGTCTTAAAAAAAATATTCGGATACAAATTTTCGGTGCCTCACCAGGTTTTTTGGGTATGTTCGCGATCTTGGAACCAAGAATCAGCACTGGCCCTGGAAGTCTCCCTAGCATTTCATGAAACAAGTTATACAGTTGCTCTGATTGGAGGAAAATCTTGTCAACATCCCTGATGTACAAAATGATGGAACTCTTTTCTGACACAGAAACCAAGACCTGGAAGAATCATATTCATCCCGCTAGTTAGCTAGGACCAATTATTGAGAAATTCTCTTTTCTCTTGAATGTATTTCTGTGCCAAGATTCTATTTAAATAAAGAACTGGCTTGAGTTAGAAAGAGAAGCCCTGATGATGACAATACCTTAAAAAGCAACTGCATAAAGAGCTTTTCATTGACACACAAGCTGCTTTTCTGCTTCGAGGGAACTGAGAATGAAGATTCAAAGCAATAAGCAAGAAAACATTTAATTTTATGTGCAATCAATCATAAAGCAGAGCATCAACTATTTCAGGTAGATTAAGAATGGCAAGCATGCGATAATTAAACAACAGATGGATTTGCTGATTAAAGCAATTAGCAGTGCATACATTTGAGTTAAAATGCAGGGTTATTGAAATTAAATTGGAGAAAGATGAGTAAGCCCAGAACTCGCAGACTTTAGCAACCTATAGTTCTGGAGATTAGTCTAACTTTAAAATGGTTGTCTTGCAATGGAGAGAAATCTATCAAGAAAATAAATAATATGCACATGAACTAAAACAGGAGAATAGAGAGAAAAATGTGTTCAAGTATAACCAGAATTTGCTGGAGCAGACTGGGAACCAGGAGTCCCGTGAAGCTTTGAATTAATATTGGGACTTTCAGTAGCTTTACCGTGTTTGTCAAGAGTGCCTGCATAAAAGTAGTCAATCAAGATACACTGATGCGATATAATACAAGTTAGTAAAGCATCGAAAGAGGTCAAGAACTGAAAAGTATTCATTACCACAAGATCTGCAAGTTGAGAGTGAAGATTACAATAACTTTTGCAAGATCATGAGTTCATGACTATGATTAAAGTAAGAGATATTTAACTTGAACAAGAGTACGACACCACTACTTGCTGAATCAATCATATGATTAAATCAGTCTTAAGCTCTTTATGAAATGTCATTTAATGCTAAGAAATATGGAGCAAAGGCCTGTTTCTTCCCTCCCTACCTTTAGTTTTGTCATTTGAAGAGAGGACTGAAAAGGAACCAAGCAAACCAGACACTCTCTCGGAAGCCACCTCAGATAAGGACGGTTTAGAAGACTACAAACAAAGCAGGGGAGTTAGGGAAACCACCTGATTGACAAACCAACTCAAATGCTGGTGACTTTGTGATTCCTTTTCAAAATATGACTAGAAAGAGAAAATGGAGAAAACACATATTTTTATGTAAAAATGGAAGTATCCCAGTTTTTAATGCAGAGAATAACATGAAAAAAGCAAACAATTGTAGAGCAGAAAGACTTGCTGATTCTTTTGTTGCATATCCGTATTTGCTCTGTATCTGCAAAAGAGAAATAGGTCAGATATGAATATTAGCCTATTCAACAAACAAAAGAAATTGCAATATGAAAGTAATCACCTTGAAAGAGAAGTCAGGTACATCTAGTAGCAGCAACTTCGATTCAAAATGATGTGCTAAAGCCTTGGCAAGCGTTTGTAGGTACAATTCTGTCCCCAAAAAAATGAAAAATGATAATGAAGCATGTATGGGTCAAACGGACATGAAAACCCATCATAACTTGTGCAGGAACATACACAAGACATCTGCATAACATACCTTCAGGTCCCGAAAGCAGAATTGCCCTGCTTGCTGGTGAAAGGTTCCGAGTGTGTTTGGAAAAGAAAGTTTGTCTTAAATGAACAGATGCAGCACTTTTCAATAACTCTCGAGTTCTTTCACTGTCATTTCGGTAAAATAAGACTTGTGTTATATATAAGGGTAATAACAGCTCACATCTATATATGATTTGAAACCTGAACCAGAAGGAACCTGGTGTTTACAAAGTCACTCTAATTAAGAATAAATGTCTCAAGTCAAGCAGATCAAATTCCTCCAAATTAGATCATAGCACCATGTTTATTAGTACATGAGAAATCAATCTGAATAGCAATAACAAAATTAAAAAAATACAAATAAAAAAGTGCAGCTGAACAGAATATTCCTAGATGCAGAACAACATATATATTCAAATAAAGTAAGTACTCCTGATTGCAAGAAATCTTCCAAACGTTAGATCACCTCAAGTAAGACGGAAACTCTTGAAAAGTTTCTTTGCATTCCTTTCCATCGATCACCTGCCTCAAAAGCTCCTGCTCAATCTGTTCACCATAAAGCTCATCACCAGACTCGTGATTCCCTCCAAGCCCTGAGCTCAACCCAAGGCTTGCTCCGAGACCAACCCCAACACCCAATGCTGACAGCAAAACGTGCTTGTGCTCCATATCTTTGAAACAATTTGATCCTAACCTCTTCTGAGCAAGCAAAACTCCACTCCTTTTAGCTCTGGTTTTGGAAAAATACGCCAAAGGCTATTTGGCAGTTCAAGTGCCCACCATGTGTGTGAGTCTCTTGACCCCTCCCCCTATATAATCTAAGTATGACTTGACTTGGTGCGTGAATTCCCAAAAGGGAGAAACTTAGCTCACAAGTTGTTTAGAAAGAGACGTGTGGATTAAGATGACAAAATCAATCCATTAGTCCCAGCATTTTAAATTCATTTTCACGAATATATTTGCTCATTTAAAATCAGTCCCCACTGTTAGCTACAGTTTAAAAGTTAGTCCTTATGATTCATCGTATCTAGACAAACAATTCCACCTATGAACACCTCGCATTAACACTGTTAAGTAACTGCTGAGGTGGCGCGAAACTAAAATTGAACAATGATGTGGCACATATGTGGCATTAAAAATGTAATGACGATTTTGATCATTAAAATGCACACTTGACCTCTGCTTTGAATCGGAATAAATTACTGTTAAATGCAAGAGTGGGATGAGGCAATAATGTGGAAAGTATAATTCATTATATCATTCGGCTTTACGAAAAACTCGGCCTGCTGAACAGATTCAGCAATCCCTAAATGTAAAGTTCTCCTATCCCAATCAGCATTGTCAGAGGGAAGCGAACAACTTTCCCTATAGAAATAGCGGCCTGTATCCCTCCCTTTCTATTTGAATGTATTTGATTTGCCTGGTTTTAGAGAAATCACAAAAAACTTCACTGAATGTTTAGTACTTTTCTTGCATGGGGATTCGCCGTTGCTATCGTCGCAATATAATCAGTACTGCATTCACGCGATTACCCCCAAGAACTTTTATTTGCTCTTTCCACAGTCTCCGCCCCAACTTCCCCGGGACCATTCCTCCTCCTCTCTCCATTACTGACTTCGCACTCTTCCTCCTTCCGGCAACTGCTTTAACCACCACCGCGACCACCACGCTTCTCATCGATTCCGCCACCGATCGCCACTTGTCCTACTCAACACCGGAACGGATTACTTTTGTGTGGACGGGGCAGAAGAGATTGCCAGCAAAATTACCCATATTAATTATGCTGTTTGTCGTATATAGGCTAAAAATTTTTTCCCATTGCATCTTATAATAAAAGTATGGAATTTTACCCAAAAAAAAAAAGTATGAATGAATATTTAATAATTAATACTCTCCTCTTGGCCAAAAAAATTTCCTTTATAAAAAACAAATAACTAATTCTGAAAAATAAAAAATAAAGTTAAAATAGTTAAATTTAATTAAATTTGTTCCACATATAACATTATTTCCTGAAATGTCCTCATTTAATAATTGATTATTGGGTTTAATAATTAATCTTACTGACAAATGTATATATTTTTAATGAGAATAAAAAAGTTGCAATAAATATTTTAAATAAAAAGTTGTTCTTTCTTATAAAGAAAGCTATGAAAATTGTTCCACAAGAGCAGACCATACAGAATAATATAAAATATTATTTGTAGTATAAACACAATTGTTGTCCCATATCCACTTTGGACAAAACATATATAAATGATGAAAGCCCCCTCCCACAAAGAAACCACTTCAAAAGCCGCAAGACGGGAAAAAGCTTGTGAAAGTGATTTTTAATGGATACTTTACCTTTTAAAAAAAATTAGGATAAATCTCTCATTACAAATTTAATTGATAAATGGTCCTTAGAATGATTGATTATACAAGGAAAAATTAGTTACACACAAAGAAAGGTAAGTTGCATAAAAACAAGATGGTTTGCATAAAACATTATTTGGATATAAGGGGTTATTTTACACACAAGGAAGATAACTTGCACATAAGAGAATTTTATTTGTACAAAAAAAATTAAGTTGCACATCACACAAATGAAGATTATTCCACATAAGGAAGATAAATTGCATACGAGAGAAAATAAATTACACATAGAAGAGTTAAGTTGTATATAATAAAAGTTAAGTAGTATAAAGTCCTTATGTCCTATTTGCTAACTAATTTTTCAATAAAATATTTATTCATATTTTTTTTTTTTTTTGGTAATTGTTTTAATTATAAGTATATACACCATCCGGTCCTATTTGGAAACTTCAAATTTAAAGATGGTGTAATCTATTTTATAAATTTCAATTTAGAGTTTATCTAAACATTTAATACATTTTTTTAATTTTATTCTTAATTATTTATTCTCCTTCCTCTGTTCTATTCTCTTATCACATTTCTTTGTACACTCTCTTTCATCATTTAACTAATTATTTATTATTTGTAAATTAGCTCTTTCAGAAAAGTTGGGAGTATAATTCACGCACACCAGATGGTCGGCAACTTTGTAATTGCCCAATAGGTATATAAGGTCGGGAAACTGGAAACGTCATTGGCGCTATGTCAGCGCATAGAAACAAAACATCACCACCTGATCCCAAGACTTCTCTCTTCTTTGTGCTTTCTTTTTTTTTTTTTTTTAATATCCTAACTAATTTCTAACAAAATTGCAAATCAGATTAATTCAGATCGGGTCATGGTATGATTCACATGGGTGGCGATCTTATCACCTATACTGCTGTGTTTCTGAAACAACTTCTATCAGTTGATCCAAATGATTGTTTTGTTTGTTTTAATTGTTAATTGTGAATGGCAAGAATGAAAAAGAATAAGGAAAGAGAATGAGAGATGATTTGAAAATAGCATTGTTCAAAATAGTTTTAGGTTATTTAAATTTAATAATAAAGCTACCATAAATTAATATGTCTACTCTTAATCAACCACTACTTTCAGGACTTGAGAACTCGCCGCTTCATTGGAACAAACTTTTATTATTACCCTACCTTTAATATATGACCAATTGAGAAGTTGGATTTGTTATCCGTAAAAGATCTTATTTCAGTATATATTTTGTATTTATAATTTTTCTTAATTAATTTACTTAACTTATAAATTGATATATAATTTAACGTTATATTTATTATAATTAAATATTTTATTTGACTTCTTTAATTAATTTAAGATAATCAAGTACCTTTTATATTAAAAATGTGAGTGTTAGATTCCCCCCTCCCCTCCAAAAAAAAAAAAGTTTCAAGAGAGAGGTTTCACTTTGATTTCTAAATGGGTTAGGTAAGGAGAATCTTGTACCCTTCCATTTCGGCTGTGTTTGTTTTCAGCTGTTGATTGATGTTGATTAGACGTCTATTAGCTGACTTTTAGTCCTTCACACACAAACATAACCACATGCTAATGTCTTAACCTAATTATAACACTTCGAGATAATATAAAATTTATTTAATTAATTTGATTATATTAAATAAATTAAATAAGTTAGTTAATTATAAGAAATATGATATTTTTTTGAAATTTCATAATTATCTTTCTTAATATCATACCTCTTTCTTCTACTTAATTATTGTTGAGAAATATTAACAGAATAATTTTAAAAAATTAATAAATATAATAACTATATCTTATGTTTAGGATTTGTCTCGTGAAAAAGAATAGAGAGAATGATTTGTATATCTTGTGCGGCAATTACTTTAGGCAAAACCTAAAGCCCTCCACTAACGTAACATAGACTGCTTAAATGGCCACCAAAATTTTTTTGGGGGGGGGGGGTGGTGTTTGATTTTGAAGAAATTATAATTCTTCATGGGAGTGCACTGGAGTTGAGGCTAATTGTCTAAAATAAATATATTCTTCTAGGTTCAATTAAACCAAGAATTCATAAATTTTAGAAGCTCAAAAATAGATTTTTAGGATATGATAATTAGGAGATAAAAGTTCAATATAATGAAAATTAAGTTCTTGAATTTTGTTTCTGGAAATGAGTCGCAAATATTAATTTAACTAGTTGTAAATTGAGACATGTAAGTTTAAAATATAATTCTCAATCTACAACTGAGATTTTAAGTTAGGGTTACTTGAAGATTAAATTGGTACGGATCATTTTGAAAATAATGACACATAATTTATTCCTTGTGCATTGCTTTGAACTTTCCTTCCGACAAAATGAAATAATAAAAAAATCTGCCGAAAGTAACTACAGAGACTGTATTATTGGTTGTTATGGTCAAGAGTCTTTGTTTATTTAAAGCCCAAAAAAATGACTTTCAATTCTTTTAATTTGAGCCGCTAAGAGCTTGTGCTGCTCATCGATATGTTCTTTAATTTTCTTTCTTGTTCCTTTATGAGACAAGTTTAATTGCAATTTCTAAAAGCATTAGGAGGTAAGATTATTCAACTTTAGATCAGTCACCTTAATCATATATTATTGCTTTTTTGGGTTTAATTGGTACTTTCTTCTATTCTAAGTGTTAATAGAGGGGTTTGTTTTAATTCTACGTGTAAGACCCTGATAAACTCACTTTATCTTTTAAATTTATAATTTTTTTTTCTGAACTCTTCTTATTAGTTATACAGATTAAATGATTTTTTTTCACCATATTATTAAATAGTTTTCGACAAAATAATTAAAATGGGTAATTTAAAAAAATCAATACAAAATTTTTATACTTAGAATTTTTAATATATACAAATTAGTTATATGAATTTTATATTTAGAATAAGAGAGCGTACAAGATAAGAATTGTATCATTGCAATGGGAATCAGCGGAGGCAAAGTTGGATCATTCTTGTGCCCAGAATATTCCTTTTTTATTATTCAATTTTAAAAAAAATTGCCGAAAGTATGTATGAGAAGGCCGAAAAATATGTGGAGTTCTAGTCATCAGGCACCACCCTCTTAAACCAAGGCATTGACTAGGAGTCCGTAACAAAGCTGATTATTATTTATTTATTTATCTATTTTTATTTTTTTGGGATGTTTCCCTTTAATTTCTAACCGTGTGAATTAAGGCATAGAAGTGAGCTTTTTATATGTATGTTTATCCATATTTATAATGCAAAGAGCATATCCAAAAGATGGAAAAAGAAAGCAAAGAAATAAAAGAGAGACAATCTCATCACATCAAATATCACGTCTGATTTTTCCACATTCTGTGAGACAACCTTTTCTTGCTTCGCCATTATCTAACGTCCACCTTTTCTAAAGCTCAAGGGGAAAAAAAATCAAAGTGGACACTAAACCAATT